GAGGAAACGTCCTCGGGCACCCCTGGGCATATCCCGTAGGATTTAGGTTGTTTGAGATCCCGTAGGGTTGTGTATTAGTTTGTTATTGTGACATTTCGTCAGTCCCCGTCCGAGATTGAGGACTTTGTTTTTACTCAGCTAGTAGACTTCCCGCCCACCTGGGCATCCACCTTTGGGGTGAGAGTATGCTGCATCATGCCTGGTGTGCGATCTGCTCGCAACCAAATTCGATCCGGGGAGTTCCCACCTCCTAGCAATTCGCACCAATGTAACACCAGGCAAAGAGTACTCAGTTGGGAGATGCCAGGGGAGCTGATCCCTCTTACAGCAGATGCGCCATGTGTTGTGACTGGTGACTTTGCACTGGGCAGGCAATATTGGGTGGATGTGCATATCTAAAGGCCCACAGGGGAAAATCCGGTGGAAGAATCACTGGAAATCAGTGCCATTTTTAAAAGCAGGGATGCGCACAGAGTGTGGCAATGGCATGGGTTCTGCACACCATCTGACAAGCCTTTCTCATGTTGTGGGTTGTTGCAATGACATGCAGGTGGATGAGAACTGCAGCAGGAAACGCCTAGTCTTCGGCTCCGGGATAATCGGCCAGCGTGTGATGCAGGAGTTGCATCGGCAGGGTACTGCTGAGTTGGCCAAATTCGTTAAGTGGTCCGCTGGCAGACCAGATTTGGCCTCACTTAGAGGCATAATGTTCCAGGGGCTAGCACATTACTTGCTGTGCCGGGGCGGCTCGTTTCGTATGCGCAGCCTTTCTAACCCTGGAGAGCAGGAGGTCAGCCTGGAGGTGCCGGAAATGGAGTTGATGGAGGTGCAGGACAGCGACCTCAAAAAAATCAGCCCCACAACAAAAGGGTCTGGGCTCCTGGTGCCGGTGGCGAGGAACTTCACTGCCGTGGACAGCTTTTTGATTTTGCCTGACAGCAACGGCAAGGCAGCGCGACTGCTCCTTATCCAGGTGACTGTCTCTGCCAATCACCGTATTAGCGCGTCAGGGCTGCAAACCTCCATGCGGAAACTGTCCAGGGACCTGAAGGGGCTCAAGCGCGAAATGTACTTTGCAGTGCCGCCCGACCTGTTCAAGCAGTTCA